CTTTGGAAATACTGTATTCACCCTACCCAAATATAATCAATGCTACAGATAGTAAGGCAACTGGTAGGGAAAACACTGAAGCTCTGACTATGAAAGGCTACTTCTTTCTTGCCCTTTTTGGGGGAAAATAGATACATTTTAGAACAATGTTACTTGAGTTATAGCAGATAGAACATGTTTGTGTGTGGATTTATTTTTTTTTTATTGAAACAGACTACATTCGCACTTTTACCTGGGACAAAAAGCTTGAAATGGTAGTAAAGTCAACTGGCATCTTGGGAGGACAAGGTAAGTCCAGAAGGAAAGCGAAACTTTTGATCATGTTTTCTTGTTACCTGGAAGCTTTCTGTAGCTGTGTTAAAAAAATACACAGCTTCCCCACCATGAAAATTTACAACAGTAGATTAAATTGTCCAGAACAGGGGAAGGAATTGTAGAATATCAGGTTGGAAGGGACCTCAAGAATCATCTGGTCCAACCTTTCTTGGTAAAAGCACAGTCTAGACAAGATGGCTAAGCACCTTATGCAGCTGAATCTTAGAAGTGTCCAGTGTTGGGGAATCCATCACTTCCCTGGGGATATTATTCCAATGGCTAATGGTTCTCATTGTGAAAAATTTTACTCCTATCTAATTGGAATCTGCCCAGGAATAACACATACCTGTTACACTGCATCTTCTCCGTGTGACTCCTTGTAAAAAGGAAGTCTCCATCTTCTTTGTAGCCACCCTATAAGTACTGGAACATGGTGATAAGGTCTTCTCTAAGCCTTCTTTTGCAAGGCTGAACAAACAGAGCCCTCTCAGCATTTCCTCGTATGGTGGGCTTCCCAGTCCTTGTATCTCTGTGGCCCTTGTCTGGACCCTCTCCAACCTGTCCACGTATTGTTTTGTGTATTGGGGACCAAAACTGACCACAGTATTCCAAGTGTGGCCTGGAAGCAGCACCTTCCAGGTGAAAGATAATGCTTTGATTATGTGAGATAATGACTTCTTTACCTCTGCTGCTGATGCCCTTGTTGATACAGCCCAGCTGGCTTTCCCTGCAGCAATAGCAGCACTGTTCACTCATTTTGAGTTGCTGGTCCACCAGGACCCCCGGGTCCCTTTCACAGAGCTTCTCTCCAGACAGGTAGATCCCAGCTTGTGCTATGCTCCTGGATTATATTTTTCCAGGTGCAAGACTGTACACTTTTCCTTCGATCTTGCTGCCTTCATGTTTATGCTGTCTGGTGATATAATCCCATGTGACATCTGTCTTGTACTGCAGTATACTCTCTAGCCCATTTCTAACTGCTCTTGACTCTTACACCTTAGGTAAGATGCCCACTGTGGTCTCTCCAGAACTGTACCGGACCAGGTTTTGTGAAGCTATGGACAAGTATTTCCTGATGGTGCCAGACCATTGGACAGGACTGGGCCTGAATTGCTAAGTTGAAGCCCGTATTGGGAAGCAACAAGAGGGCAGTGACATTATAGGCCACTCTCGTCCAGCGGTCTGTCCAGAGGATTGCAATTCCATGTTTACACGGACTATGTGTGTCATGTTGGGAAGTGTGAAATCTGCTTGTTGCACTTTAATCCTCTCTTGGAGGATGATAAGCAAACCTGCCTCGGTAAGGATGTAAGATGTAAGGTACCACAGAACAGCACTGATGAGACATCCCTTCTGCCAGTAGGGAAAGTGATACTCCTTCTAAGAGTACTGAAAAGAGATACTATCCAGATCCTGATGGTGTAGAAGTACATGATCTCTGTAAGTCTTGCACTGCCAAAATGGTGTTGAATATGTGCAGCTCATGTTTCTGTAGCAGATGCATGGTACTGCAAATGTGAAATAAACCCCCTGTGTGTGGATGGGTGAGAGAAGAACGAAGTTAATTCGTGAGTTCTACTATTGTTGCAGTGGTCTGTAGTTGACCTGTTTAGGATCCATTAATACCTTGTCCTGCTTATGAACCGTAGTTTGAATTTTTCCTGGGTTCTGTAAACAGTATTTTTTTAAGGCAGCTCCACATCTATAATGCCCTATGACTCCATCTTTTAAGTTGTATTGCTGCAGTACAACTCTGTCTTTATCTGTCATAATTTCATTTTAGCTGAGTCCCATAAAAATGGGTTGTCAGTCATCAGCACACTGCAAACTCAAAAACATATCCCGTCAATCCTAAACAGTACTTTGATCTGAAAGTTGCCCAAATCCCTGGAAACAGGTAACTAAAAAATATGCCCTTTAATTTAACAAGACTTGATCAATTATAGTTGTGAAGCAGAGTAACCCTTTCCTTAGTAGATGGCTGTAAGTTGCTAGACAAAGTGAAGCATACTGCTTTAGAGTGACAACTTTCTCCTTAATGCAACTATCATTCCTGGCAGATCACTTCAAAGCCATTTCAGCTCCTCTGGACTTTTCAAGCAATGCATTTACCTCATTGTGAAACTTTGCCAGGAGAATGTTTTTCTTGCATTCATGACATGAATATTTTTTTTTTGTCACTGAGATGAATGTAGTTGTTTTCTGTAAAAAGAAAAACCTGTACTAACAGGTATCTTGTATGATGGATAAGATGTACAGAGATCTGTGAATCTCTATGTTATGACAATAAGCACTTCTTCCCATTTTTATTAATTTTACCTGGTTTTGTAGGTGATGAGTTTACTTTTTAGTGTCATTATAATATAGGCCAGTAAACAAGAGGGTTTTTTATGAGTTTGAAAGGCAAGAATACTGTCCTTTGATTTCCAGTTTCTAATGGAAGGACTTGAAATGAACATGGAATCTGGGACAGGATTTGCGATCACTTGCTTGTTCTAACCAGTTGCCTGATAATGCCTTCTTCACTGTAGTACAGATTGAAATGTGCATTTTAGTCACTCCTCCTGTGTTCAGTATTTTCTTCTGCAGCAGATGTTGGTGGCTGTTCAGGAATGACAGCTAGGCAACACTGAGAAAGGAAAAGGCCACAGTGAGAATTGAGCTGTTGGCTCCAAAACCAACCAGTGCAGCTCACGTCTGAGCTGCCAGAGGCAACAGTCATGTGTGTTGGAAGAAGTCTTCCCCACCCTATTGCAAAACCATACTAGAAGATGAGCAAAGATGCTTGAAGCAGCAGAAATTAAAGTATTCACACTTCCTCAGTACAATGTAGTAGTTGTTTCTGGGGGTGCAGTGGTGTGTGCTGTGGAAAGATGACACAGAACTCCTTGCCAGGAGTCCTTAAGTCCAACATAGTGCATCAGGTACAGCTGATCACCTCTGGGATACATCTTGCCTCCTTTGTTGACATGTACTCCCAGGATGCCTAGCTGTGTGTGGGGCCTTATTTAATGAGGTCAACCAGTTCATCAGCTCAGTGCTACTCTCACTTCTATGGCCTCTACCTTCTGTCTTGGTTCATCGATGTGAAAGAACAAGCCATGCAGCCTGAATCTGTTCCAGTCTCAGTTGAAGTTTACATATTTCCTCCTCCTTCCCTTCCTAAAGTTTACAGGGAAAAACTTGACTTTCAGCTAAGGTGACCCAACAGCAGCTAATTATGTTAGCTTCCACTTTTGTCAGTATGTGGATTGGTTGATGGAGCACATCATGGCATGTGCACTAGGCTTATGTAGAGCTGTGACATGCTAGCCTGGTCCTGTCACTAGTAGCCCTTACTCCTATGATGTGTGGCTCCTCTATACTGCTTGTCTTCCAGAGTCCCGAGCAGCTGGCTCTAAAGCAACTTGATCATCTGATGGTAGCTAATACTCCCCTGTACATGACAGAATGAGGCCCTCAGCACTGCAGAAGTGAGAGAACCTTCCACTGTTTTTCCATATGTGTTCACAGATGTGTGAATTGTGACCTTCTTGGGCTGAAATTACAGCAGTTGGAGAGATTTGCAAGAGTGACCTTGAACTGGCATTAACAGCTGATGTTGGGCCAGGATGTGGCTGATAGACTAGTCTTGACTAGACTGGAGTAAATAGCAAACTACTGATCATGAGTAACACAGTAGCTGCAGTATCAGCTGGAATTGGGACATCTTTGGGCTCTATTTGACATGTAAGCATTTCTAGTTCATATCCCAGCAGCTGAATGGGTGTCCTCAAATGTTCCCTTTTCAGAATAAAAGTTGTCCTGGCATTTCAATTGCTACAAGGTTGACTTTCTCAGGAGAGCAATGCTTCATGCAGAAGAGATCTTGGAGAGAGCTCCTTGTGAGGCTGTGTTAGGTCTTTGTCCCTGTAGAACACCTAAGGATGAACCATTTGGTCAGTTTATTTTCTTTACAACACAGGTTTAGTATATATGTGTGTAAGTAAATCTCAGTTTCAAACATGAAGACTGCATTTCTTCAGAGCTACACTGGCTCTTTTTCTTCTCTTGTTTTGATCTGAGGCCTTGTGACAAATGTCTAAATCTTGTCCCAGGCAGAAGCAATGACTTTGAGTCATCATGTAGACAGCAGAATGCCTTGTAGTGGCCCAGGGGTGCATTCTGTCCCCAAAAAGCACGGGGGACTCTTGCTGATAAAGGAGTTCAGTGGGGCTCAGGGGAGTGAGTTACCTGTGGACTCTCCTCTGTGAGAATGACCAAAACCAAATGAATTGCTCACTAGCTGGTGGCCAGACTAGTCAATATTCAAAGCACTTAATGTACCATAATGTATGTATTTCTATTCTACCTTGGTTCAGCTGTATTTTATAAAATTGATGTACTAAACTATTTGAGAATAACTGCCTTGACTACCTGGAGAATCAAAATGTAATGTATGTAGATACAAATAAAGTGACTAAAATACATATACTTGAGTCTATTCCATGTGTGGAGCAGTTAGGTCTCATAGCACCCCATTTTCTTGACCAGGCTGAAGCTGCTGCTTGCTGTGCAGAAATGCTGTGCTGCAGAGTGCCAGCCTTGCGTGCAGTGCAGACATGCCTGTCTCTGTGCCTTGCAGCTCCTCCTCTAATGGAGCAGCACCTCTGGGCAGCTCCCCAGGGCAGTGGCAGTAGAATTTGTCTTCTTCCCAGCTGCTTTTCACCACCGTGCTGATCCAGTTTTGTCCAGTTTTGTCCAGCAGATGGTGGTGTGCCTTTGCCCAATTTTTCCAAGATGCAGAACACATTGCAGGTATTTCCATAATCTTAGGTGGACTAGATAAACAAAAAAATCCAAGAAGGTCTGAAAATAAACGTATCTTATTTGCTTCGTATTAACCTGGTATATAGTAACCTCCTTGCTAAGGCTAGTTCTGGGAAGGGGATTTGTTGGTTCCTAGAATATAAAATCAGTCTAAAACATAAGGATTTTACCTGTCTTATGTGCTGTAACCAGTTTTTGCCAGGTGAGTTTGAGTTCTTTTATCTGCTGCAGTATGAAATGGCACCAGAAGCTAGTCCCACCATGGGGGTGTGAGCAAGGAAAAGTTGGGATACTCAATTCAGGGGCAGTGTTGCTTTATGCTGTGTAAGTTTGAGTGGTGGGACTTGAGGGACTTCTGGCACGAAGCCAGAAGCTGCGTTGAAAAGCACAAACGCAGGGTTATCAGAACAGCATTCCTGTAACCCAAGTGGGACTTCCAGCGCTTAGTAAAGGACTGCTGCCGCCTGCTGGCAATCTAGGTTTTCAGCTCCTCTAGTGCGAGGGCTGGCTATGTGTCTGCTTAAATTGCTTCACAGGATATAAAAAGTGTAAGAGAAAATATGATCTTAGTGACAGCTCTGTACTGTTTTCCCGATCTCTAAATGTGCTGTGAATCCACCTCTGAAGAGGTGGAGGACTGAAGTCCCATAATAGCTGAATATGTATTTCATAAAAAGTTTAGACTCTTGATTTCAGAATCAAATCTGCATCTCTCACTTGTCCAAAATTTTGGAGGCGTTTTGTTTCATACTTTTATGTACATTGCAACGTTTATTTATTTTTAGCCTGTTAGATTCCAGTGCTCTACTAAAGGTTCTGCAACAGAATAACACGAAGGCATACATTGCTACAGCTGTAATTCTCCCCATGAGCCTTTTTCTCGCAGCAGTGACTGGAACAGGGGTGCCTTACAGCTGCAGTGGCACGAGTGTGCTCATGCTAAAGAAGAACAAAGTGTAATAGGAGGTACTGCAAGAACATCAACTGGCACTTTGCTCTATGGCTGGCCAGGTGCACAGGCACTTCCTGCATGCTGTTCTAGCCTCAAGCCTCAACAGAAAAACTGAGCACTACAACCAAAGTTCCCTCGCTGTAGCATATAATTGAAATAAATAAGTTGCTCAAGACATAATGATCCAGAGGTAGGATAATAAAGTAGGTGAACATAATTACTGAAAAGAGCATTGAATTATGGTTGAAGAGACAGGATGAGAATATAGTAACTTTTCTCCATTGTTTACATAGGATATTTTTCTAATATAGCCTCAGCATATGGGCTCCTGTTACTGAACTAGCTGGGATCTTCTGACATAGCAAAAGTGAACTAGCTACGTGATGAAAAAGTTATATATCTTAATGTACACATATGCACATAACAACAAAAAGAAAATGTTTTCTTTTTCTAATAGGATTATAAAGCCTATTTAAAAGACATGCTATAGGGAGAAAAGTATTTTCTGGAAACAGAAAACACTGGAAACAGCCATATGAATTTCTAATGGCTGATCTGTAATCAATTCTGATTGAAGTGTGTTCTTGCTAATATGTGCAGTACTTGACAAGATAGAAAAAAAAGAGAATAACTTTATGTGACTCCAGAGTAGCCTATAATATGCAGAAATTATATTTCCTTCATGATATTTTGAGCTGCCTTATGGAAAAACAATATTCTACTTTCTGTCAATGAAGCCCTAGAAAGCAGAACATCTTTAAGGCCCTATTTCATATTCCAGCTCAGTTGTATAGTAAGAATTCACCAGAACTAATGTGTTTTTACAATAATGCAACCCAGCCCCTACTTAATTCAGCTCTTGAGTGTTTTTTGAAACTCTGACATTTAAGTAAGGTAGCCATTTTCTTAGAGGATGTGTCGGCTCATTAACTGACGTGGCTCTTGTAGTCAAGAAATAGCCTGCAGAATACAGAGGTCATATAAGTTGATTTAGGAAACATTCTTCTTTATGCCCAACTAACTGTAATTAATATCTGTTGGCAGATAGAGAAGTCTATTAGAGCCTAGAAAGTTAGCAGTACAAGGAGCAGCCTGTTCAATGCTGGGGATACGTACTTCAACTGTTCATTATTGAAAGTGTGGTGCCTTACAGATACGTGGATTTAAAAATTAGTAACGAATTCTAGCATAGAATTGAATAGGTTGAAAGCATTTGATCTTGGAATGTCACTGTTTTCAGATGCCAAGTTTCAGTAAATGAAATAAGTTCTTTTTGTGCATTCCTGGTGAAAACTTTAAATATTAAAACATTTAAAGTCTCTTTATAAAATGAAAAAATACATTGAAATTCCACAACTAATGTGAAGCATGCCCATGAATGGAAAAAAATCAAATTTGCCAAGTTTGATCAAAACATGATCTTTCCAACTGCAGACTATATAAAACCAGTATGTTGCTTGAAACTTTTGCTATATTCTCTCTATTTTTATACCTCTTAGCAGCAGTAGAAACTAAATGAGCCAAATGTCTTTTAGGAACGTTGTTGTTTTTAGGATAGAGCATGATAGCTAATCAATTCAGTGACACTTAAACAGCCATAAAAGTCCTCCTTTTAATTAAAATAGGATGATAGAGATAAATTTAAAAGCCATTAGACTTCTGTATCTACTATTCCACCTATTGTACAGCATACATGTATTTTGTGTTTGGTTATGTGTTGCCCTTTTTTTATGAGTGCATAGTAACATTACAAGGAAAAGGCAACGATGAGCCTCATGGTCTGCTGTTTGTCATCTGAGAATATGCCAAAGCTGCCAGTTTACTTCATACCCCAGCAAGTCCTAAGCAATAGGGGCCCTGGAGGAGTGTTCTTGCCTTGCTTTGACTTGATTGAGCCACTTTGTGTCATTCAGTCAAAACCCACAGGTCCTCACACTTGTCCACTCAGTTGAACAAGTTACACTAGAGTGGAGTGAGGAAAGGAGTGAAGAATAAGGGGTGATAAACACTATCTACAGGTAGCTACAGGGAGAAGTGAAGCAATCTTGGTTACACAGTGAGAGTGAATTTGCTATTCACCCTTGGGATTTGAGAGGGGGATTAAGGAATGGTGGAGCATTATTTAAAATTGGAGCATTCACTCACATACTGTTTCAGATTCATCTTGCACTTTGTTTATTGCTTGGATACATGAAGTTGAAGGTTTTTCTTTTAAAATATGAAATTAAATTTAAGTATCAGAACAGTTACTAACACAACTATAATTTGTTTTGAACTTTTTGGTTTTGGGGGTAGAGGAGTACCTGTCAAAATATTTGTTGACCAATACAGCTTGTCATTGCATTTAGAGAAGATTTGGATTATTCTGTGTGGTTTGGTGGGTTTTTATATTTGTTTTTTAATGGGTTTTTTTAGTTGGTTGGGTTTTTCTTTATTGTAATTTGATTTCTGAAGAGTGAGGCAATACTGGCACCTCCATGATTCTACAGGAGAAAACTGAGGGACCTGGTTAATTCAAGATGTTCTTATTCTGTAAGAGTGCTGCTCCACTGGTCTTGAATAACCAGTTTAAACCCTTGATTAGTAAAAATCAGATCATGCAAATATATGAATTTGTCCTTAGAGAAGTCTGGAGATACAGCTATGTATAAAAGCTTTTATTTATTTATTTGTATGGCTAGGAATAAAGGCAAGATCTTATTACCCGCTCCATCTTTCCCCCAGGCTGCTTACTAAAAACACAGAAAGGGCAGCTGGCAAAAAAAAACAAACCGTGAAAACTTGGAAAATCTTAGAACCTTCATCACCTACAGCTTTTTTCTGTTCTGAAGATTATTTTCCCCCATATACATCCATTTGGTCTAGCTTAGAAATTTAAAACTCTGGATGCAAAGAGAATATCACGATGCAGAATTAAATCTTAAAAATGAACTTTATTGATATTTAAACTAAATCCTCTTACCCACAGTCTAAATGAATTTTGAAACCAGTTGCCAAGACAAAGTAAGTCGAGGGTAGAGAATATTTTGATGTGGGTAGTAGTGTTGTCCTCTCGTAGCATTTACCTATATTGCTTCAGATGACTGACCGAGAAGGAAGTGATACAGTAACTTTTTATGAAGAACTGAAGTATGACTAAAGCCATAGCAAAACCAGAAAGTTCTGAAGTTACCAGCATCTTATGGAGGAGACTGTTCTACTAGTCTGTTCCAGTAAGCAGTAATAAGAGAGAAACTGAGTATAAACAGGCATAAAGAAGAAACTGTACAAATGTCTGCACTAGGTTATTTTTAGAAGATTTTTAACAATAGAATCCTAGAGTATGTAACCATGACCTCATTCTCCAGCATTACAGTACAGTGTGGGAACTGCAGTTACAGAGACACGCAAAAACTGACCAAAACAGAATTTGTATTAAAATTGTAATTTTTGACTGTGATTGAGTTTGAAGTTTGATTTGGATGGGGGACGGTGTACTTTATTAAAAATAGATGCCATATGTTCTCTTCTTTCTCAGAATAATGTGCTGCAAAACCACAAATCAGTAGAGGCAACTCTGAAATGTTTCTTCCCCGATGGTCAATGTCCCAAAGTTATTTGAATCTCTTCCTTTCTTGCTGCCTTCTTTATGAAAAAAATTACTTGTAGATAACAATGTATTTACAAATTTGTAATACTCATACTACACTGACTAGTCATGCTAGATCTAAATATATCAAGAGCAGGGAGAGAAGTTCATCTGACAAGTTCTCAGCAGCATTTTATTGAAGACGAAACAGTTGTTTGCAGACATTTTGTCATCTTCTGTAATTTTTCTTGTCTATTGAGAAGCTATGAAAAATATTACTCTTTAGAGTGGGAATTCTATTAAAAACTAGGAGGAGATACTGCAATATACATTGTTCATTATTAAAGAAGGCACTTGCTATCCTGCTTGCCTAAAGATTATATAAAAAACAAACCACCTAAAACATATCTCCAGAGAAAGGGAAAGTGGTAATGCCAAGTGGTTAACTATGTCCACAGAATACATTCATATTTAAATATCTAAAAAGACAATAAAAGTTATGACCTAATGACTTAACCAGATGCTTCTATGGCGTAACTTAATCTTTGAAAGTCAATGAAACACAGAGTTTGAATTACTTTATTTTTTTTCTTACTTAAAAAAAGAAAAAACACAACCCCAAAAACAAACCAAACAACTAAAGAAGCTCTTCAACGTTCTGTTCATCGAGGCAGCACCACCAGTGCTGCAGAGTAATCCACTCAAGGGCAAGAGCAATTTAATTCAATAGACATCCTGCTACCACTTCTTGATTTTATTTCTTAACAATTGACTAGACAATACTGCAACCCCAAAGCAGAATAATTATCAGGTACAATTGTTTGTCTTTCAAATAGACAATCCCTCATTATGTTTCTGCATTGCAGAGTGGTTTGAGTGCATATTCAGCCACAGGCTGAGTGCCACATTCAAAAAGCATTTGAAAAGAGACAGAAAAAAATATAAGGAACTAGTAAATGGGTAGGCAAAATTAACAGAGTTCACATTGCTGGTCAACTCCGGTGTTTGGCCAGGAAGAAGGTAGCTGGTATATCAGAAGAGGGACATGCAGAAACATTGAATGCCTCCACCAAAACCAAAATGCTTTAATCTCCCCACAGTTTAACAGAATTCATACAGTCACGTATGCCTGTGAACTCAAACTTGTTTTCATCTCTCCTGTCCTGTCAGGAAAGTAACCATCCTTATATTTTCCTTGTGGTGTCTTCTATATTCACAGCTTCAGAATATCTTGAATCATATCTAACTTCAGTACCACTTAGAGTTCATCCTAGTGACAAGAAAATAAACAGTGGAGTTTCTCTCAACGTACAAATAAAAATAATTTTCTCCTGTGATTTTAAACTTTTCTGTAGTACCAATTTCTCAACTGGACAAATGTTTCTGAAATAGAATTCAGGGTACTTAATAGCTGTGTGTTAATATCTTCTGAGTTAAAATGTCAATCCCAATCTTGCAATGATCAACCTCTGTAATTTGGTGTCTGCTTACTAAATGTAGTTCAGGGATTACACTTAAAGATACAGTGCAGCTCAACCATCTATCTCTAGTGCAGCTGTGCCACGGACATGTCCATGTCCCATGAAGTCCTGCCACAACTGATGTTGCAACTGCAGTTACATCTGTAGACATCAAGAACTGAGTTTGAATGAATAACAGTAACCAAAAACAAGACTGGAAGTAAAATGTACCTGGTACTATTTGAAGATACAGCATTTAATACTACAGATAAAGAACTAACACTAACATAATTTTAAACAGTTATTCTTTACAGGAAGTCTTTTGCAAGAGGCCCCACAGTAAGTGTTCTTACCTTATTTCTAGATTTTTTTCTTTTTCCTTTATTTTGCATTGCTTCTAATTTTTCATTCAAAATGTCAGCAATACCTTTTGCATCTCTGCTGTCTATATATTCCCCAAGAACGTTTTTCTTAAAAAAAAAAAAGAAAGAGAGCATGGGTAATATATACCACAATTTTACACTGAACAGAAATCTGTCTACTTTCAGACAAAATTCAAGAGCAATGCAGGGCAGAATACAATGGCTCTGGTAGGCTGATTTATGATTCATGGATATATTTTTGTTTCTGTTTAAACAATGCTAATTGTCTTTACTGTAAGAACCACTCTTAGCTCCTAATTTTCAAAACTACACAAATTTTGTCTTGAGCCTTAAAGAAACCTGAAATAGTTACAATTTGCTCACATTTATTCAGCTAAGTACTTAAGGTGGACAGCTATTACCAAGTCTGCCACTTTTTTGAGACTTAAAAAGCCTCTACTCTTTATCACAGAAAATCTTATTGAATTTGGTGGGATTGTGTGAGGAGGGATTTCTAGAATTTCCCATAAAATATTCAGTGAAAAAAACAGTAAAGTATAATTAAGAGAATTGCCTTAACTATCAGAAATCATTGAATACTGAAATAATTGAATACTTTCTCTTCAGCATTAATAAGTTTAAAAAGATGGCTATAATATTCTTGAAATTTAATATATTTTTAATTAGTTTTTTTAGTTTAAAATACATTATTTAAGTCAAAATTACTCTTTTAATATAACCAGATTTCTCTTTAACCAAAATTGTATTTCTCCTTAGCCAAAATGAAGTTGTTACATTTCATTTAGAGAGAGACTGCCTGCTTTTGGGTAGCTGGTGATAGAATTGGTAAAGGTTGAAAAACATTTTGTCACCTAAGACCCCTGCAAAATCAAACCCTTTCTGCTTAAGCCCACATTTTAGTTACTGTTTTACTAATTTGTAGTTTATTATTACTGTATCACTGTCCTACTATTTTAAGTATTACGAAACTGATTATTACTGTTTCTCCAAAATATATAAATAATGCACTTTAATATGTTACAGAAATATTCTCTTCAGTTTTAATGTGAAATGAAATACATCTACTAACAGTACCTGCTCAGCAACAGGTGACACTTTACCTTTGTTCCTTGGTAGGGGTAAAACTTAACAGTAGGATAGGCTCTGATATCAGCAGTTTGACAGGTCTGACCGTATGCCTGACAGTCTACTTTCCCAGCTTTTACTTTTCCTTTAACGGCCTAAAAAGAAATGCTTATTAGAAACAAACTTCAAGTTTCTACCGGTGAGTGTAAGCAAATAACTGGAATAAGCCAGCAATAAAAGTAAACAACTAAACTACAGATAAAAGTAAACAAAAAAATGTGTTGCTCAAATCTTTTCATTATTTCAGCGTAGTTGATTGCTTGCTTCCCAGACTGTTAACCTCATATCAGGAGTCCCTGTGTGTTCAGCAGAGCACTCCAGTTCAGGGCAAAGCACAAAAGCACATCACAGCTCCAAAGGTCACCCCATCACAAGTTGAAATCTGTCTCAAGAGAGGGTCTGTGTGTCTGAGAAGGAGGCTCATTGCAGTACTGTAGTTTTTGGATGACTGCTGAGAAATAAAGTGCTGATAAATAACGTTTTAACCATTACAAGCATAACAATCTGCTAATACAGTTAAAAACCTACCCTTGCAAGGATCTCAAATTCAGGAGCAAAATTTTGGCAAGGTCCACACCAAGGAGCATAAAAATCAATGACCCAGTGATCTTTCCCATTCAGAACTTTTTCTGTGAAACTCTGAGGAGTGAGGTCTACAGACACTTGTGGTAAATATCTGTGGAAAGGAGAAATAACAGTCATAATACATTCAAAACTTTAAACAATATCCAAATTCCATTTAAGAAAAGATTCTGAAATTAAGAATATTTGTAGTCTGGAAACCCCTACTTCACACTTTGTACTATAAGAGAATCACTTTTTAGAAGTGGTAGACAAAATAATAATATGGTCTTCAGGAAATGGGTGGACAACAAGGAGTATGCTATTTCTGCACATTTTAAAAAAGTAAGATAAAAGATGTAGGAACTTTAACATCTTAAATTAAGCAATACATATACCCAAGTGTTTCTAATTCTTGATTTACATAGTATTTAAATATTTATTTCTCCTAGCAAGCAAAGTATATAAGCAGCTCATAAACAAAGTTTAATGCAGTAACTTACCCCAATGCCCAGCCTCTCAGTGAATAGGAATCTCTGTGCCATCCATTGTAGCTACTGTATTAAAGAGAAAACAAAAATCCAGTTGCACAGTAGTTTGAATTATATTGGAAAAAAAAAACCAACCTCACTCTGAAGAGTGAAGATAAACAAATAAAGAATGTAAATGCATATGTTTTAGGATATATTTCTGCCTTGCTTTGAAATCTGAATGAATGAAAGTCTTATAAATACAATTCAAAGCTACA